ACCTCCTCATTTGAGGTGAAGGTTTTACCGTCTAAAAAATTTTGGAGTGACCGGAACAAATAATAATCCGATGGTGCCAGGTCTGGAGAATATGGTGGGTGTAGCATTGTATCCCATTCAAGCTGTAAAAGCTTTTGGCGAGTGACCAAACTTGTGTGAGGTCTCGCGTTGTCTTGGTGAAACACTACACCTTTCCTGTTGATTAGTTCTGACCTTTTCTGTTGAAGTGCATCATTCAGTTTGTCCAGCTGATGACAGTAGACTTCCGAATTAATCGTTGTGTTATCCGGTAAAAGCTCAAAAAAAACGATTCCTTTAAAATCCCACCAAACAGACAGCATCACCTTTTTTTGGTGAATATCGGCTTTGGAAATGGTTTGAGCCGGTTCATCTTTTTTGCTCCATGACCTCTTGCGTTTGACGTTGTTGTATACAACCCATTTTTCGTCCCCAGTGATGATGCGCTTCAAAAACGGATCATTTTCGTGACGTTTGAGAAGCGAATCGCAGACGTCAATGCGGCGACACAGATTTCTCTCTGTGAGAACATGGGGAACCCATACATCGAGCTTCGAGGATAATCCCAGGCCTTTCAAGTGGTCATAAACTGTTGAATTTGATAAATTTAACCTCAATCCGATCTCACGTGTTGTTATTCGCCGGTTCACATCAACTAATGCCTTTATCGCGTCTTTATCAGCTTCAACCGGCCTTCCCGAACGTGGTGCATCTTCGACATCAAAATTGCCGGATCGAAATTTAGCGAACCAGTTCTGGCACTGGCGTACTGTCAACACACCTTCTCCATACACATCAGTCAATTTCTTTCTGGCTTGAACAGCATTTTTACCCTTTCTGTAGTAAAACAGTAAGATATGTCGAAAATGCTGCTTATCGCTCTCCATATTTAAAAGGGCACCAACCAAAAACTACTGCGTAGAATTAATTGGAATTTTTCACACACAAGCCTTGCTATATGAGCTCTCAAAGCATATAAAAATTATACGGCTTAAATGTGAAGTTGGGTGCAAAAGAATACAATTAAATCCTATGTCGGGAAAAAACGAAATGACTTTCCGAACAACCATATAATTCTAGAGTTAAATGTGTAATCATCATCATAATAGGATATTTAGTCCTAAGACTGCTTGGACGCGCACCTCCGCTCTTTCTTATCCTGAGCTAATCTTCTCAGATTTCTCTACAACTAGAACATCCCATATCCTTAATTACTTGTGAAGAGTCATGCCTAAGAAGCTGCTCTACCAACCTATCTCACCTGTTTCTAATTAACTTCCATACCTCTGTCTGTTCTCCTACTCTTTCTAATGCCTCCTCATTTCTAGCCTTTTCTATCTATGGTATCGTCATCATTCGCACCCGTACAATACCGTTCTCCTCTTCGCGAGTATAGCAGTGACTTCTTTTTGTTAAAGGCGACTCGATCCTGCATTATCCTTTGTTTTATATCTCTACTGCTTCTTCTATCCTGAATTATCTAATTCCTAAATACCGAAAATCAGCGACTTATTCCACTTTTTGTCTCCTATCTTTATATTCACTCTTAACGTACTTTTTCTTCCCATACATACCAATATTTTTGTTTAATTTTTTTTTCATACCATGTAAATACATTATTAAATTTAGATTGTTTAAAAAATTATTTTGGTTAGTGCTTTGTAGTAGTAATAGTAGGCAATCAGTCTGTGAGACTTACAATTTTTCGTTTCAAAATTTACATTTCTATTTCTCTTTAATCTGAAGTTCTAGTTATCCTAGTTTCATAATTTTCGCCTAAAATTTTATATATTAAATAAGTTATGTAAACGTTGTAAATTGTTGAGAGCGGTGTGATTTAGTTACATGACGGTGATGGTTATATGACACTGATCGCGAGATGCAAATAGCTCTCCTCGGGTTTATTAACCCGAAAAACTGCAAATAGAAACTGTGACAGTGCCTTGATTAAACATACTCCAGATTATAATAACCTAGAAAATTGGTTGCTTGAGGGAGCGTGACCAATTTTCTGTGAAACTGTATCTACATCAATGAGAAGATGATTCTGTGAAACTGAAGTGAACGTTATAATTAAACAAATAACAAAACGTGACATTGTTATACTATGCATTAAGCAGAAGATTTCGAACAAACTAAAAAGTTAAGAGGACAATAAATCAAAACAAATGAAAATTATAAACCAGATGTGTTTGTATTGTAGCATAAATAGGATTACCATGCCAATTAGTAGTTACAGTCAATTAAGCAAAAAAGAGGGTCAACTTCGGAATGAGAGATAATAAGCTGTAAATTTGTACAAACCTCTACTTGGGCATTCTAAAAGGTGTATCAAAAGTCATATAACTTCTCGTGTTCCCGTCTTAAGATATTCAAAGTCAAAGGTCACCAAAATCGATTTTTCGCAAATATATCGCTTTTACATTTGCATACAATATGAAAATTCTAGAGCTTAAAATTTACAACAAATTTTGTTCAAAAAATTTTTTTATACGCCCAGCGCTTAGCAGAAAGTCAACCGTAAGTCCTGGTAGTCAATATATATCAATTGGTATACCATCAACTTCAAACTTGGTTAGCGAATGATCTGGAACCTCAAAAATAGGATTAGGTACTGCAAAATGAACTCCTGGAACCGATAACGACAAAATTACCACCAGCTCCAGATGAACTACTTAAAACAATATTTTGCAAATGCAAGAATGGTTGTGGTTCACGCTGCGGATATACTAAATAAGGGTTGCAATGTTCTTTAGCTTGTGGCCATCAAGAAAGTGCATTTGACCCTCAAATCCTTGATGGTTTACAGACAAACATCCTTGAAAAGGAAGATAATGATAATGAATTAGAAATTTTCGAGCAACCGGAAGATGACGATGAAGAAGAAGAAAAGTGAGATTTATGTACTAATTATTCAAGTTTGTTTAACCCTCCTTACGTTTGAACTTCAACTGTAGTCAATATATGATACGTAATTGCTAAACAATTAAAATTTGTTTATTCTATTTAATTTCTATTTAAAATATAATTTAGATATATTANAAATTTCGAACAATTAGCTTAACTTCCCATGCGTCAAAAATCTTAACTAGAATTGTACAGAGGAGGATGGAAAAAAGGGCGGAAGAACTATTAGGGGAAGATCAATTTGGATTTAGAAGAAATAGCCTCCCGCAGGAGGCCATTCTAGCTTTACGGGTAGCAATAGAGAAAACGATAAATAACCGGGATGTGCTGCGAGTTCTTTACGCTCTATCTTAAAAACAGTTAAGTGTATAAAAAAATATTTGACGGAAAATTTGTAGAGAATTTATTTTCATTATAGATGCAAATGTCATTGATACCATAGGAAGCGAGATATTAACGAAAAATCGATTTTATGTGACTTTTGACACAACATTTAGAATGCCAAAATAAGTTTACGGCTTAATATCCATCATTCCGATATGACTGGACTAAATGAGACAAAAAGGAGATACTGATTTCGATTTTGCATTTCTCCATTTCCGACGATCTAATCAATCGTTGAAGGTACTGTCTTGAGGTTTTTGGATTATGCAGCGTCAGTTGCCAGGTTCTATTGAAAGGTGGCTGTCGCTGCGGTGAGCGTCGCAGCGCACGAATCAGCAACCGTCGGCGTCATTCCCGCCGTCGTCTACAAGTTCTCTTGTGAAATGCAGTGCAAGTAATTAGTAAAGCAAGAGCAGCTAATCAGAATACGACCTTATTAAACTTTCATTTGTGGATAATTGTCAGACTAACGAAGATGTGGCAAGCGCGCCCTTTCAGCTTAATAGGCGACTTTATGTTCAAATCGAGATGCCAATTATTACGAAATTAATCTACCCTAACTTAACCCGAACTTACATCAAAAAAATAATCTGAATCTATCGAATTTTCTATCCAATTAGTGAATTAAATTGATGAAGAAAATGGTGTACCTACAGAGGTTAATCCGTTCTATATATTTTATTGAAAAGTAAAGGTTTATATGTTTCTTTATTTATCGGGGGTAAGGAGTAATCTTATTAGAAGTCAGACAAGCATGCACACTGTCACCGCTACTTTTTAATCTATATATCGAATAGCGATAGATATACAGGGGCAAAAGATTAGTATGCCTAGATTTGCAGATGATATAGCAGTATTAGCATCTAGCAAGGAGGAGTTAGAGATAGCTCCAAATAATATGGAAACGCTATTGACAAAACAGAATTGTATGAAAATAAATAAACGTAAAACAAAAATACTGGCATGAAAGGAAAATAAAAAGTAGCGAAAGAGTGAATATAAACACAGGAGAAAAAAAATCGCTGATTTTGGTTATCTAGGAAGTCAGATAAATCAGGATGGAGAACAGAATCGTTCGAAATATGGTTCTAACAGGCCAATGATGAGGATACCGTGGGTAGAGAAGGTTGGAAATCAGGTTCACAAATAGTAAGGATGCGGGATGTTCTAGTTCTGGTCTTAAGACTGACTGACGACCTTATGATGAAGTTGATCAGTCTTAAAAACTACTGAGCTGATTTCAAAAAGTGTTTTACTGTTCGGTAGGTGATAGAGATAGTTTAGGATCTTATAATTCATGGCCTTGACAAAACTCTGCATGTTCATTAATTTATAAACACTAAAACTCTGGCCGTGTCTGACCGTAATCGGTTTAATGGTTAAAGGTCAAGTCAATGTATTTAAGGTGTTTAATGTAAACGCAATATGAATAAGAACAGCCTTTCTCGCATTTTCCGGCCCAAGACATTTTAAAGTACCTCTACGTTTATTTAAGACTTAGGCTGTTAATGTGCTTGGAGATAAATTGAAAGCTAACGTGACTAATCATTCGAAAGTCGCGTTTTATAAGTGGGAGCGCCTGATGCTGTTCAAATTTCCACCGGATTACTATTGAGCGACTACTTGTTCAAAATAGAGAACTTCTTCTTTTTAAAATGTAATTTTTTTAATAAGTTTTCATTCTTTTTCAGATCGAGGTTTTCGGAAGAATCCCCAAAAGGCTGTTGCAGTTTCCTCACGTGGAGGCCGGGTTCGTTGAGATGGTTTATAGCATTGATAGCCTTGGTCGCAGTGTGTTGTGTTCTGGTTGGTACGGCGCTGGGCGCAATGAGACCTGCGGGAAGGGATCATCTCACCGTCTCGTTACTCATGATCGGTAAGTTTAACTTAATTACTATTCTTTTTCCGTTGCGAAACTTTTTATTTTTCGTATTTCTGAATTACCTACCTACCCTCTTATATATTGTATCATAAGGTCAGAAACGTCGTTTGTCATATATTAAAGAAAAGGTTTTGTAAAAGGTCATTAATTTTACATCACTCTTACACACAATAAAGTAATAAGGGAATGGGTAATAAAATTTAAACTCAATTTTTTTAATAGAAAGAGAGTTTGTAAAATGTGAAGTTTATGAAGAACACTTTTTCTCTAAATTCAACAATTGTTAAAGGCTATTAATCCTGGAAAACTGTGGAAAATTGTAGTTATGGTGCCCAAACCAGTGTCTATCTTATAGATCTCTACTTTTGTCAAATTTTTATTGATATATTTGATGTTGTTCAGCGATAAAAATTGACCTCTATTTGTCTACGTAGGCATAAAATAATTAGATGTTGACTAACTTGCAGAAATTAAAATAACTTTTTTGTCTAATTACTTTCGACACTAAATTCTGTCAAAAAATCAAGCTTGCTTGTTAACTCTCGACTGTGCTTATTTTCAGATTTTTCAAAACATTCTTGAGGTTCTCTTAAAGTATTCTGTATTTCTTTTCATTTAAAGTAACGATTGAGTTTTTTCTTTAATCAAATCAAATGACAATTTTGTCCTGCAATTTTGAGGAAATGTTAGTAATTTCGTTTCAACCGCAACGTGGAACCGTTACGAGTACAATAGAGAAAGGTCATTTGCTTTTACTGCTTCATGAAAGAAATAAAATCCGTCGAATCCGGTTCTTTTTTCCCTTACAAAGCTGAATATTTTAGAAAAACTTAATCTCTAGAGAAATCGCGAAGCAGACAGACAAACCGTCTGTTGGCCGAACAGAATACCCACCGCACCCTTTACCGTTCCCCTCGATGGCGATGCACATTCGGAAAACTTCTTTCTCCTATAATAAATTATGAAAATTGTTCTCCGTTTGAATCTCCTTTCTAACCGTTTAAAAGGAAATTTAAAGAGCCGCAGTTTCTAACCAATGCGATCCCCAAGACGGTATAATTTCTATATAGTTTTTTGCATTTTTCCTTTTCCTTAATTCATAAACCAAAATTATGCCACTGTTTTAACTACTACACACAGAATATATATATATATATATCTTTATATTCGAACGTAGTAGTAACATTACCTAAGAAGAGGGGCGCAGATAGGTGCGAGAAATTTCGAACAATTAGCTTAACTTCCCATGCGTCAAAAATCTTAACTAGAATTGTACAGAGGAGGATGGAAAAAAGGGCGGAAGAACTATTAGGGGAAGATCAATTTGGATTTAGAAGAAATAGAGGAACGCAGGAGGCCATTCTAGCTTTACGGGTAGCAATAGAGAAAACGATAGAAAAATGAAAGAGTGCGTACATAGGATTTGTAGATTTAGAGAAAGCTTTTGACAATGTTAAATGGGACAAGATGTTAAATATACTTAAAAATGTAGGTATGAATTACAAAGATAGAAGAGTGATACTTAGTTTGTATAAAGAGCAACAGGCAGTTATAGAGCTGATTAAGCAGAGGATAGCGCAGGGTCGTGTCGCCTTTAATAAAAAGAAGTCACTTCTATGCTCGTGAACCGTTAATTTAGAAATTCGAAAAAGGTTGTTAAAGGTCTATGTTTGGAGCACGGCGTTGTACGGGTGCGAAACATGGACAGTGGGAGCGGCGGAAAAGAAAAGGTTAGAAGCGTTCGAAATGTGGTGTTATAGGCGGATGATGAGGATATCGTGGGTAGAAAAGGTTAGAAATGAAGAGAGGTATTGGAAATAATAGGAGAACAGAGGACTCTATGGAAGTCAATAAAAAATAGGCGAGATAGGTTGGTAGGACACCTTCTCAGGCATGAAGGTCTAGTCAGAGACATATTAGAGGCAGAAACAGGAGTTAGGAAGATTTTCCGGGGTAACGAGCCTTGGTCTAGTGAAATTTTTATTTCTTCCAGGCGTTTCGTTCGTAAGTGCGGCGAACATTTTCAATGGAGACGGTGGTGATTGCTTCGTAGTATTCTTCTCGATAGTTGAGGAGACGCTTCGAACGAAACGTCTGGAAGAAATAAAGATTCCACTAGACCACGGCTCGTTAGTTCGGAAAATCTTCATCGTAAAGACTTATGCCGTGAATGCCTACAAGCATATATATCTATATCGCCGCATGGACTAAATAAAAAGTCTTATGTATATTATAAATTATGAAGTGAATAATTATTTATGTTTATTTCGTTTGCCAAAAAATTCTTTGAGCGAATTTTCATTTTTTACATTTATTTTTCACTATAAAACGAAGGTAGATACATGAAAGTTGGTAACTTTATAAAACCATCGTATATACTCAAATAAAAATCTTGTTAAAATGAAATTTTCATAGAGAATTTTTTTAATTGATGCCTCTATACAGACAAGGTAAAATTGTCATCGAATTTGATAATTATATCACATTTCTTTGTTAGCATATGAATGTATCGTTTGGTGAAGGTTCAGAATATACAAATTTTTCATCGACATCTATCTCAAAATACCTCATGCTTTTCTCCGAAAACTGTCCTAAACTATCTGAACTCTCAAAAATCTTTGAACAACGCGTAGCACCCCTTGGAAGAGTGAACAATATGTACAGTACTATATCAGTTAAACAATAAGGATGTTTTTAATTTTAAGTTTCAGTTTAAATCTTAATAGAAAATCGTGATAACGTTATTCGAATGAGTTTTATTAAAAATGGCGGTTTAATTTTAGGATTCTTTAGATCAGAATGCTTAAACGGAACCATAATAAAAATATCTGTCGTATTTTGTCTATCGGGACCTTTTTTCAAGAATTGCTTTAGATATGTCAAGTTGAAAGTATTAACAACCAATAAGCTTCTCCCTCAGTTAGTAATATGAAGAGATGAGGTAAAATTGTCACCGAATATGGAAATTACATCACATTTTTTTGTCAGCATTTTCTCACATAGAACAAGGAATAATCTGGAAACTACATTTTTTTATTTCCATTTGGAATTGTACATAGTTCGTGACAAAATAATTTTTTGCAAATTATATATTACATACATATTTAATATCATCATATTAATCATAAGTGTTACAGGCCTGACGCTGGAAGCTGGCGGAAATTTTAAAATGGCGTGAATGCGCGGTGGCAAAAATAGGCAGTTATAGGTATAACAATTGCAGCCCTTTTTCTTCAGTATTCCTATCAGGGGCGTAGATTAAATATTTAAAAGTAGGGATCAGATCAAGTAATAGACAGACAAACAGAAGAACTAATTGTTGATGTTGGTGACAGTGATAGAGTTTCCGATGATGACAGTGACAGTGAATGTGAAAACTAACTATAAAACAAAAGCAATAGCTTAATTTTTTCTTTTTGATAAGTCATGTTTTTACATTATTTTCTAGTACGCTACTGTCCTATCTGTATTAATACTATAATTTACGCCTACTGAAAGCTTATTTGTGTATCGGATCCAAGTGACTTACCCAAATAGGTCATAAATGGGCAAGTACCTGCGCGACCGCTCGCCAGCTTCCTTCGTCAGACCTGTATTGTAATATGACGTAAGAGCTCTTTGCACCAGGATTTCTCAAAGATGGTAAAACGAAATACAGAAATCGACTTAATGTAGAATCGGAATTAAGATTGATATAAGATAGAATTACCACTCGAACAATGTGTTTTACCCTTTGTATTTTTTTTAAACGGAAGGCTTTATTTTTTATCACAGTTGTCTGGGAAATTTAATAAAGTTATAAAAGGTTTCCTGAACGCCCTGTATCTTTATTAACAAGAAGTGCCGCCAGCCATGGCCAATTCGTGTAATGTTTTATCGATTTTTATTCATGACGATTCTCCCCTTTTTTCCCTTGATGAAGTTAAATTACATAACGTCATTCAACGCTTCTGCGGTGAAATTGACGAAGGGGGGGTGGAAGGGAGTATTTTGTGGCAGTAGTTAACAAACACGCCGACAGTTGGTTATGTGGGGGGATACCGAAAGGGGGTGTGGGGTAGGCGGCTGTGGTGGTAGGTGGCAGTTAATAATATAGCGTCGTGTCACTGCCCTCGAACAATATCAAATTGAGTTAGAGATCGAATACACATTTAATTATGTCAGCCCACGTGTACGATATCATCATGGCCTGCTGAGGTATGAGAAATGTATGATTTAGGGAATTAATTAGGTAACGGGTAGAGTTACCGTAATGCGAAATACGTAGTTTTAGTCTGTGACTTCATTTCCAATAGGCGCCTATGCAAAACGAGATGGCAAGGTTGTAGGGGTGAGCATAATCTCCCCGCTTCCCAACAATTAGGAAGCTACACTTGTTATTATAAGGAAATCTGGAACTAAGTTATTGTATTAAGGGATTCTAATTAGATTAAAATTGACCGAGTTCAGTGTGCCAGCGGGGCATTGCAATTAGAACAAAATTGTAATTGCACCCCTTTGGATTTTTAAACAAAACAAACTAGACTACTACTGAATTTGGGAACCAGCTGGTTGATGCAATTTGGAAGACCAAGGAATGATTATTGATCTCTTGAATCTTAGCATAGTATTAGAGGTGGGGAAGTTATATTTTGAGCTGTTTCAATGCCACATTATACCTAACAACGGAGCAAGTGTTTTAGTTTGCTCACGAGTTGCCGCTGAATGGTGACAAATTGTGTAGTTACCAACCATGACAAAATAAATTCCGTTCCATGTTCTAGTGACAATGCGGTTTTGTGATTAACATATAATGACAAAATTCAGATAAAAATAGCAGAATTCAGACAACTATTTCTCTACAAGATATTGACTGGCGTTCCAGCCTCTGGATTTTGATAATAGAAATGATTATAACTTAGTGGCGGCTTTGTAATGAGAGCAAGCTTATAATTGCACCCCTTTAGATTTTTAAACAAAACTAACCAGGCAACTACTGAATTTGGGCACTGGCT